GCTAACTATCTCGTCTCTCGTTGGTCCTCTTCACTAAGAGCTCTGACCCTGTCATCCAAGCTGCTCAAGACATCTTCATGCTTGAATGACAGAGCGTACACGGCAGCAGGTCAGGCAGGTGCGGTTCTGCACGCCCTTGTGGTCCTCAGGCCTACCAGACCGATCTGTTGCGGGACTCCGGGCCACCAAGCAATCTGCTGTTCTGTCGGTGCTATGGTGGCCACGGAGAGACATCTGTGGGAGCTCCCACATACTGTGGTTGCCAGGTTACAGGCCTCACCAGGCCTTCCTGGTTATGAGCTCCCACTGATTGTGGTCACCGGGTTACAGGCCTCACCAGGCCTTCCTGGTTATGAGCTCCCACATGCTGTGGTCGCTGGGTTACAGGCTTCACCAGGCCTTCCTGGTTATGAGCTCCCACATACTGTGGTCGCCAGGTTAAAGGCCTCACCAGGCCTTCCTGGTTATGAGCTCCCACACATTGTGGTCGCCAGGTTACAGGCCTCACCAGGCCTTCCTGGTTATGAGCTCCCACATACTGTGGTCGCCAGGTTACAGGCCTCACCAGGCCTTCCTGGTTATGAGCTCCCACATACTGTGGTCGCCAGGTTACAGGCCTCACCAGGCCTTCCTGGTTATGAGCTCCCACATACTGTGGTCGCCAGGTTACAGGCCTCACTAGGCCTTCCTGGTTATGAGCTCCCACACATTGTGGTCGCTACGTTACAGGCCTCAAAGGGGCCTTCCTGGTTATAGTTCCCACATACTGTGGTTGCCGGGTTACAGGCCTCACCAGGCCTTCCTGGTTATGAGCTCCCACTTATTGTGGTCGCCAGGTTACAGGCCTCACCAGGCCTTCCTGGTTATGAGCTCCCACATGCTGTGGTCGCTGGGTTACAGGCTTCACCAGGCCTTCTTGGTTATGAGCTCCCACATACTGTGGTCACCAGGATACGAGCTCTCACGTACTGTGGTCGCCAGGTTAAAGGCCTCACCAGGCCTTCCTAGTTATGAGCTCCCACACATTGTGGTCGCCAGGTTACAGGCCTCACCAGGCCTTCCTGTTTATGAGCTCCCACATACTGTGGTCGACAGGTTACAGGCCTCACCAGGCCTTCCTGGTTATGAGCTCCCACACATTGTGGTCGCTAGGTTACAGGCCTCAAAGGGGCCTTCCTGGTTATGAGTTCCCACATACTGTGGTGGTCAGGTTATAGGCCTCACCAGGCCTTCCTGGTGATGAGCTCCCACACATGGTGGTTGCTAGGTTACAGGCCTCAAAGGGGCCTTCCTGGTTATGAGTTCCACATACTGTGGTAGTCAGTTTACAGGCCTCACCCAGCCTTCCTGAATGTGGGCTCCCACATGATGCGGTAGCCAGACTACAGCCTCACCACCTTCCCTGAGCACTTTGCTCCCACTCTGTGGTCACCAGGCTTCAGGCTTCATTGGCCTTCCTGGTTGTGAGTTGTCACATGTCAGGTTGCAGGCTTCACCAGGCCTTCCTGAATGTGAAACCCCCACTTTTCGTGGTCGCTAAGTTGTAGTGGTGAGTCTTCACATGTCAGGCTGCAGGCCTCAGCGGCCTTCCTGAATGTGAGCTCCCCATGCATTGGGACTATCGGGTGTTAGGCCTTGTCAGGCCTTCCTGATTATGGGTTCCCACTTGTTGTGGCTGCCAGGTTACAGGCCTCAAGTTCGGCCTTTCTGAATTCAGAGTGAAGTACACTAACCCCTACTTCACCTATTATTGTGGTAAATCACATGACGGGATGTCTTGTGTACTTTCTAAAATCCATTTTGTATGGTAAGGGTCACGCGTGGTATGCTTCGGTCCCTTCTTATGTGGCTCAGACCCCGGTCTTCCCTTGGGTCCCACTTTAAGTGGCGTCCTGTCACTGGCTACAGGGACGCCCTTCTCTGGCTAACTTCTGGAAGAAGTAGCTTCCACTTGGTGGAGTAAGCTCCCACAGGTTGTGGTCACCAGGCTGGGTCTCACTGACCTTCCTGAGTACGAGCTCCCACCCAATGTGGTCGCCAGGTTACAGGCCTTACCAGGCCTTCCTGGTCATGAGCTCCCACACACTGTGGTCGCCAGGTTACAGGCCTCAACAGGCCTTCCTGGGTATGAGCTCCCACATATTGTGGTTGCTGGGTTACAGGCCTCACCAGGCCTTCCTGAATTCAGAGTGAAGTACACAAACCCATACTTCACCTATTATTGTGGTAAGTCACCCGACGAGATGTCTTGTGCACTTTTCAAAATCCATTTCTTATGGTGAGGGTCACGCGCAGTATGCTTCGGTCCCTTCTTATGTGGTTCAGACTCCGGTTCTTCACTTTGGGTCCCACTCTAGATGTGTCTTTGTCGCAATACATTACGACAGGCACTTCCCTTGTTCGAGCTATCTCCCACAACTGGTGGTTTTAGGTCTCATTAGACCTTTTTCGAAGGTAGCCCCACATTGTGGGTCTGTCAGGTTCTAGCCTCTGGCTTTCCTGAAGGATGAGCTTCCACATGCTGTGGTCGTTGGGTTTCAGGCCGCACAACGTACGGCCTTCCTGACATGAGCCCTCATGTATCGGAGCTCCCCACACATGGGGTCATCAGGTCTTAGGTCTCTTTGACCTTCATGATTTTGATCCCTCTCTTACTTCCTCAGTGCTCAAAAGCGAGCACTGGGTGGAAACTCGTGGATTGAGTGTACGATTCCCATTGGTTCGAGGTTGAGTCACACTCTCCGGAGGATCCCGTCTCTGTGATCCGAAACTCGATGGTTTCCGCCAGCTTCGCGGGCCTTCAGTTTTTGGATGCCTTTTCTAGGCAATTTCCAGAGGCTCTGTCTTGGACGGACAGGCTATGGCCAGACTGTGTGTCTTAGTACAGATCACCAGGCCAGCCTGGGGGCATTTCAGGAGGAGTGTTCTCCTGAATAGTGACTGGCTGGGGGTCCCTTTGGCCCCCTAGCCACACTCCCTAGAAGGGACCCCTTCTATTTTGAAGTTGTGGTCCTAAAGCCTTTGAGCTGGCCCTGATTTACTCACGTTATTACGTTCTGTTTTTTCTCGGTTCATTAGCTTGGGCTATGACCGGTAGGGAGTGCTGTCACTGACAGCCCGATGTAACATAGGGTGAGTGATTTCAGTGTTCCTTGGAATTACTGGTTCTGACAGTTGTCACTGCCTTTCGGCATGCACTCCCCTCAGCATGGCGGAGTGGGTATTTCGTTCCCCATAGCGTCATTCGACGTATTGTTGAGTTCCCTTCGAAAGGGAACGTCTCAGGTTACGACTGTAACCTATGTTCCCTGAGAACAGGGAACGAGACAATACGTCTCGTTGCCATGCCTCGGGGCCTGCCTGCAACAGTCCCTTCAGACGATAGGATGTTGTCACGGTTTCAAGGCGCCCTTCTTATACATCCAGATTGACGCGCTCATCATTCAAGCTGATGATGCACGGGCTGTCGCCGGTCAACCTGATTACTGTGAGTTGATATTTGATTTCAGACACCTGTCACGCCTGAGGCGTTCCCCATAGCGTCATTCGACGTATTGTCTCGTTCCCTGTTCTCAGGGAACATAGGTTACAGTCGTAACCTGAGACGTTTTTACCTGTGTTCAAAATCAAACACTGCTCTCAAAACAGTTTTACCTCTATATTTTTTAATTCAGTTTTAATTCTATATATATAAAAAAAACATATTTTTTCATTGTATAGTCTACAGCAGTGCACTGTACTACAGTTTACGATATATACGAAGTAAGGGACACAAATGAAAGGAGTAAACATTTGATCAATGTGCTTCTTGTCTTTGGCCTGGGTCATGCCAGAGGACTTCGTCGACTTCACAAGCAATATTGTCCCTTGCCCCCCCTCCTCTTTCTCTTTCTTGCCCCCCTCCTCCTCTTCTTCCTCTTCCTCCTCCTCTTTCTTGCCCTCCTCTTCCTCCTCTTTCTCTTTCTTGCCCTCCTCCTCCTCCTCTATCTTGCCCTCCTCCTCCTCGTCGACCACCTCGCATACGTCCTCGTCCTCTCACATTGTTTTTTCTATCCATTCTGAGACTTTCTCCCTTCCACCTTCAACAACCTCTCAGTTCAGTTTGCTCTCTGAACTGGCTAATATTGGTTGTGTCACATCATTTGAAATAGGTTGATTCAGTTTTGAGTGGTTGTGTTCAATCAAATGATATGTGTTTGTATTTGTATTTGATTGTTGCCACTTGTGTTTACCAGTATGGATGATATGTGCATTGGAGTGCAGAATGTGTTTTGAGAATGAAAATGTGTTTAGAGTTTTGCTGAAAAGTCTAAGTGAGATCTGCAAATTGTGTTTTACCATGAGAAATTGTTTACACTATTGACAACAGACTTCACAATTAGCTAAATGAGTTCAGGCAACTGAGAACTTTGTTCAGCCAATGGATTTTAGTGTTTTAGCAATTGAGAAAAACTGTATTGACACTTATACAGTAAAAGGAGGCCTTTAAAGTAAAGAGTAATGTTTTTGGAAACAGGAAAAGACAAACACTGTAATGTCTGGAGGAGAAAGAGTAAGAGCAAGGGGCCCAGGCAGAAGAGCAGGCCCAGTGAGAGATGCAGGAGCAAGGAGATGCAGTGAGAGGTGCAGTGAGAGATGCAGTGATGCAGTGAGAGATGCAGTGATGCAGTGAGAGGTGCGGTGAGAGATGCAGTGAGAGATGCAGTGATGCAGTGAGAGATGCAGTGATGCAGTGAGAGGTGCAGTGAGAGATGCTGTGAGAGGTGCAGTGAGAGATGCAGTGAGAGATGCAGTGAGAGATGCTGTAAGAGGTGCAGTGAGAGATGCAGTGATGCAGTGAGAGGTGCAGTGAGAGGTGCAGTGAGAGGTGCTGTAAGAGGTGCAGTGAGAGATGCAGTGAGAGATGCAGTGAGAGGTGCAGTGAGAGGTGCCATAAAAAGGTGCCAGAACTATAGAATACTGATCATACATAATACAATCATGCATCTTTTTATTCACAGACTGTTCATGACTCATGGTCAGGCTGCCCAGAGACCTGATGCCAACAGGGTTTCAGAATGTGTCGCACTTAAGCTTCTGAAGGAATTCAGGGAAGCCAGAAATAGGCCTAAAGACAACAAGGGCAAAACCTTTCCCATTCCTCAGGCAATTGTGATGATATATAGCCACATCAAGCAGCTGCTTGAAGACTGCAGAGAGCTACTGGACAAGACCAACTTGGTGCTAGTTACTGTAAACAACACAACAGTGTCTTCATGGTTTTCAGCTTCCTAAATTCACTTCCTATGAGGAATGACTGCACTTCTGAAATAATAAATTTATTGAACTATTCCCAATTCCATATATATTTCTATATAACGTACATTACAGTAAATACACATTGTTTTCAGACATCCTGTCTCATTTTGAAATTTGTAACCTTTTATCTGTCTGCCAAAAAAGGATTTTAAGAAATTGGTAATAAATGCATACATTGTTTCACAAAAGCTTTTCAGAAATTTAGACTGTTATGGTTTAGAATACATTATTGCTAATTATACAGCTTTCTAAAATGCTTGATTCTGCTTTGTCAGTTGAGACATTTCGCGGTCAGCTTTTCTCTGACAATGTTCAGAAACTGCAAAGTTCATCAATTACAAAATGAGTTGAATTTCGTCTATAAATCAGCTGTAATGTTATCAGTTTGGTTCTTGTCCAATAATGTGAGTACAGTCAAATTAATAATATTGCTGAATATTAAAGGCGCACTCCGACTTTTTGGAAATTTAGCTTTTTCACTGCATCCCACAGAGTTAGATAAGTCCATACATACCCTTCTCATCTCCATGTGCCGTAACTCTGATGCACTCGCTGCTAGCCTACCTTAGCACAAAGACTGGAGGTAAACGTCTCCAATAGTTTAGTGTACATGATTTAGAAAAACAAATCAGTAGAGATGTTTTTTGAACATATTGTGGGTAGAGAAAAAAAATTCTGTTATTCTTTCCCAGGCTTCTCGACAGACAGAAAAGAACAGACCGGGACACCTTGCTACAAGGAGTGGAGCTTCCCCAGCCTGTTGGTTTGGCAAAGGAGCTACTGCCAAAGCCTAGAGAGCTCCCATCTGCACCTGTTGATCATGGACATGTTGCCATTGAGTTCCAGGAGCCTGAAAATCGGGAGGGTGAGGCAGTTATTCGCCAGCGTAAATATGCACGAACTGGAACTGGAGTATCTTCTATAATGCACACAGACTCTGGGCTTAGAGACACATCTCCATCTGGCACAGACTGGCCTGGGGGCCCAGCAATTTCCTGGGTGGGATGCCTGGCCTGGGTATTCTGGTTTGTCTTTTCCACCATCGCACTCTCAGGGTTGGTCTTCTGTTCCACCATCACACTCTCAGGTTGGGTCTTCTTTTCCAACGGGCCAACAGCCATCAGTTCCACCATCGCACACTCAGGTTGGGTCTTCTTTTCCACTGGGCCAACAGCCATCAGTTCCACCACTTCCTCCGAACCGACAGCGTGCATGGAGACAGCACAAGGCAGCAATTGAAGATCAAGAGCGTTTGGCAAGAGGGGAGCCACCAAAGAAGCGCCACACAAAGGAACATTATCATTATGAGTGTAAAATATGTGGCCAATCAAAAGGTAAAGTCACTGGCCATTCCCAGATTAGAGGAAAGTGGTACTGTCCAGCATCTGGCCAGACCATTGCAGAGTGGAAAGACTCTCTTTAGGCTTTTTGTCGTGATTGAGTACACGGTTTAATCAGCTCTTTAATTTTTTATGTTAGTGCATTAAGTACATTTTTGGCAATTTTTAAGGAAACTTCTAAAAAGAATAAGTGCGTGTGTGAATGTATATGTATATAACAAGTGTTTCTACATTTTTATTAAGCTGTATGTGTAGAAGTATATTATTATTATGTCTAGCCATTTAGTTGTGTGTGTATATGTGTGTATATATATATATATATATATATATATACATACATACATACATATATATATAAATACACACACATATATATACACATACATATATATGCATACATATCACACACAATTAAATGGCTAGATATAATAATAATATACTTCTACACATACAGCTTAATAAAAATGTAGAAACACTTGTTATATATACAGTATATATATGTATATATTTATAAAAGGCTACTTAGTTTTATTATTATTATTATTATTATAACTTACTATTCTGTAATTATTTTATAATACTATTAAAGAATACTATATATTTTTTGTATTTCATATAGATATAAATTTGTATTCATTATATAGATTTTAGCTTTTATTTGTGCTTTTAACGGTTTTATTTGTGAGTCTTTAAAATTATTTTCAGGAAATGCACATTCTAGTTGTTATTATATATATATATATATATATATATGGGTCAATGACGTGACGCCTAAATTTTCTGTCCGACTGCATTTTTTCAGGCAAAAATGGGTTTAAATTCCTATAAAGATACTGCATATTTGTAGTACCTCTCTCATGTATGTTGTCAGCACAGATACAAAAGGATCCAAAAGCGAAAGGAGTTCAATGCAAAGTCTTTAATGTCCAACAAAAATCAGCTTTCAGATAGCTTAGAACTACAACAGAAATATTCTCAGCATGAATGGTCCATGAAGAAGGCAGCTGAGCAGAGGGAGTTGAGGATGCGGCTCACCACAGCAGGACACAGGCGAACAGGAGACAACAAGGCGTATACTGCTACACAAGACAAGACACAGGTAAGATTCCTTGGACAGCCAAAAATGAGAGCGCGTACTCACATAATAATCCGACATAGAACAGAGAGAACAAACAGCAGAAGTAGACAGCGTAATCAGACAGGACAAGACACAGGTGAGGGCGCAAAGCAGCGAGCCGCTGATTGTGATGATCAGCAGGTGGACCCTGGCAGTAAGTGTGTGCGCTGGAGAGTGAGAGAGATAAGTGTGTAATTAAGTGTGTGTGGTAATATGAAGGTGAAAGAGAACAGAAAAGTACCCCAGATCCTGACATATGTACTCACTTTAACTTTTCAAAAACCTTTTACTTATTTGTTATTATTTTGTTATTTAAAGTGTCAAAACATCATGTGGTGCGACCGTCCGGCCATAACTTCTGTTTTGAAAACATCTTTGAAATTACTCTGAATTAATTCAAATTTATATACTGCACTATTTGGCATGATTTCCAAAATGTTTTGTGATCCTTTAAAAAAATTCTAAGCATTTGCATTTATATTCCCATCATAATATACAAACAAACTTTGTCCGAAGATGTCTATTTTATGAAATATCATGTGGTGCGACCATCAAAGAACTACCATTTGGGACTTATATGTTGAAAACTATTCAAACACAGGAAGTTACATCATAAACCAATTTACCAAGGACCCATGGAAGCAGCAAGCAGGTTTTTAATTCTCTCAAATTGGAAAAAAAATAAACCTTTGTAATGGTTGGTATGTAGTTGCCAAATTTGCATGTCATGTGGTGTGACCTCAAAAAAATTTAATATTAAAGTTATTTCTACAAATATATATTTTATTGTAAATTTCATAGTGACCTTTTTTGGCAAGCTAGCTTGTTTTGTTTTGGTGGCCATTTCTGTGCCTGTAAATTATGAATGAATTTGAAAATGTCATGTGGTGCGACCAAATATCATGTGGTGCGACCACTGCAGACTGTTTTCAATGATAGATATATGTCCTAGATTGGCAGTTTTATGCTTTTATATTCAATCGACGGTTTATTTTAAAAAAGTACTTTACTTTAGTATCATTTGGAAAAGATTTTTATGCAATTTGGGATTTTTTAAAATATATTTCAGACAGTTTATGTTCACTCTTTGTACAATATGAGAAAAATGCAAAAAAAAAATAAAATAGAGCATGTAATTTCAGTTTAGTAATACTGCATTTATTTGTAGTGTATTTATTATTGCCTATTTATTTATATAAAACTATTTTAATCTATTTTACCAGATGCCACTGCCTGCCAAGCGAAACAATTCTTATCCTGCAGCAAGAGCGGAGTAGAGAAGAAGAGTGAAATATTATTACAGTTTAAAATATCTGTTTTTTATGTGAATATATAGTAAACTTTAATTTATTCCTGTGATCAAAGCTGAATTCTCAGCATCATTACTCCAGTCTTCAGTGTCACATGATCCTTCAGAAATCATTCTAACATGTAACCCTAGACCATAAAACCACTCAATGGGTCAATGTCATATAGGTCACATCCATCACACAATTTTTTTAAATTGAGATTTATACATCATATGAATGCTGAATAAATAAGCTGTCTATTGATGTATGATTTGTTTAGATAGAACAATATTTGGCCGATACAACTGAAAATCTAGAATCTGAGGGTGCTACAAAATCGAAACATTGAGAAAATCGCCTTTAAGGTTGTCCATTTATGTTTGCAATGTTGCTATATTCACTCACAAAAATAAATGTTTATACATTTCTGTTAGGACATTTACAAAATATAAAACATCTTTATTTACAGTTTTTTCTGATTGCTTAAGCACATTTTTTGTAACTATTGGCTAGTTTTGCAAAACTCTACACACAAATAAGAAAACCTTTCACCCAATTATCAAAACATTGTAGTTATCTTGCAAAATCAAACACAGCTAGATTAACTCTTCACACCTTCGTAAAAATAGTGTTTTGTATCAAACAGTAAACACAAGCCATCATCTACTAAGCACACAATGTGCCAACTACACACTGATGGTATGAATACAAAACACATCTGGCTTTTGCTGTCTCTGTGTACAGATGTCAATTTGAGGTCATACTTTTGTCATAGTGTCATGTAAACATACAAGGATACAAACTTCAATTATTGGTGTTTATTCACACTCATAAAAACCAAGACAAAGTCAGAACACAAAAGAGTAGTTTTGCAAAAAAAAAAAAAAAAAAAAAAAAAAAAAAAAAACACACACACACACACAAAAAAAAATACAATCAGCCTACAAAATTCCGTCCACATCGCATGCAATATCCTCCAGTCCAAGGCACCGGGGAAAATATCCCCTTGAATGCCTTATCCAGGCCTGACATGATGCCTGGTCAATATCTCCACATGCCTCCTCCATTGCCTGTAAAAGTACTACCTGTTGATGAGGATGACGGTCGTACACTTTCCAGAACTCCTCAATGGGATTTACGTAAGAATGGAGAGTATGGAGGGAGGTTGAGTGCCATGAAGAATTTGTGGTCTGTAAACCAGTTGCGGACCAAAGCAGCCCTATGGAAACTAACATTGTCCCATATGATGACATATCGGGTATGCTCTTCAACTCCACATCCTCTCCCTCTGCCTCCTTGTCCTCTTCTAGCTCCTTCCACCAACTTCTTCACCTCCACGTCCTTTTCCTCGACCTCCTCTGATTCTCACTCTTCTCACTCTTACTGCTCCTTCCATTGTACTCCACACAGACAGCGTACCTGTGACTTATTTATAGTGCTTAGGCTGATTGCAAAGTGAACTAATTTTCTAAAACAGTTTTCACATGTGAAAGTGAGCCAGACAGTTGGCAAAATAGTGTTAATGATAGCCATACATGTGTATAATTTTGCTAGGAGTGTGTTGGAAATTTGGTAATTGAGTGTAAGCAGTGAGTTGTGTTTAAAGTTCTGCAAAAAGAGTGTTGTGCAGTGAATTGTGCCTACAGTTTTGCAAAGTGTGTGTTACAAAATTGCAAACTGAGTGCAAAGCAGTTTTTGTGCTTTTAGTTTTGCAAACTCAGTGAGTGGTTTTGCCATACGTATTAATAGTTTTAGAAATTGTGCTACAAGAATCACGATTAGCGCTTAAGCATTCAGAAAAAACTGTAATATATATATAACATTATTATTTGTTAGAAAGAAATTCTAAGTCAAGTTAAATTACAGTTTTTTCTGAATGCTTAAGCGCTAATCGTGATTCTTGTAGCACAATTTCTAAAACTATTAATACGTATGGCAAAACCACTCACTGAGTTTGCAAAACTAAAAGCACAAAAACTGCTTTGCACTCAGTTTGCAATTTTGTAACACACACTTTGCAAAACTGTAGGCACAATTCACTGCACAACACTCTTTTTGCAGAACTTTAAACACAACTCACTGCTTACACTCAATTACCAAATTTCCAACACACTTCTAGCAAAATTATACACATGTATGGCTATCATTAATGCTATTTTGCCAAATGTCTGGCTCACTTTCACATGTGAAAACTGTTTTAGAAAATTAGTTCACTTTGCAATCAGCCTAAGCACTATAAATAAGCCACAGGTAAGCTGTCTGTGTGGAGTACAATGGAAGGAGCAGTAAGAGTGAGAAGAGTGAGAATCAGAGGAGGCCGAGGGAGAGGACATGGAGGTGAAGAAGTTGGAGAAAAAGGACGTGGAGGTGAAGAAGTTGGAGGAAGGAGCTAGAAGAGGACAAGGAGGCAGAGGGAGAGGATGTGGAGTTGAAGAGCATACCCGATATGTCATCATATGGGACAATGTTAGTCCGCAACTGGTTTACAGACCA